TTCTATCATTACAGGAAAGAACATGTACACAATAGAGCAACTTTGGGCTAAAAACTAGAAAAATTCAGAGTAAGTTCTCAGTCACCCTACCATTTGATGTGTCAAAGTTTTCGCTCCCGCGAGAAGAGGCTGCACTTTCCTTAAGAATGTCTCGGATTTGATGAATTTGTAGCGAGAATTTCGTGTCCATGGTCCTCAAATCCCGAGCGACAGTTTCTATTCTCGCAACCAGAGCAAAACCCAACAAAATTCCAATGACCGATAGCATAGAAGAGCATGTGTAAAACATTTCTCTACGGTCTCTTTTTCTGGTGGTCATTTTTGTATCTCGTGCGCTGTTATCCATGGCGAGTGGAGATACAATAATGAAAGGGTTAATTCGTGTACGAGTTAGTTGAAGCGCCTCAGCTCAGCGGACCATCTCAATTTGAAAACTTCCCTTCTGGCTTTAGCTCATTTACCTCATAGGTGACCTCAGATATTTACTTCATCTCTCGTTACATCACGCAAAGTGTTCCCACAGGAGCATTGTTTGCTCTGACTACTGTTCAATTCGTAATGTTCGCGCTGTGAGATCATGAAGCATCGATATTGCTGTCTTGAGTGTCCTGTTCTGTAGCCGTTTCAATAGCTATTAATCATTATATTTCTTGATTTTCACTAAAAATTATAATCTTGTATGGGCCCCTTCCAACTGCCCCCCCCCCCCCCTTCATTGGCGAATGATGTTATGATGGAAATACTATCTTATGAACGTGTCTGCTGAAGCGAGTCGATTATTTTTGTTATCACAGCTGAATCTGCGGGAAGTCTTTCATACATCAATAACAAGGTCTGCCTTAGCTGTAGCTTACGACATTTCAGTTGACTCGGGAAGAAATCATGTTTAAAACATGATTCAAGATATCACGCACTGCTAGTAAGTTCCTGCAGTGTATCTAGCACTTCTGGTCGAAGTTTGGTATGCAATTTTGCGTGACCCGATCGAGCAAAAGTACTATTAGACGGCGCTGTAATGCCGCCGAAGCATACTATAAAGGTGCCCAGATTAAGTCCAAAATCAAGTGATACTTTTAAGCTGTTAGGGTTAGTGAACATCTGTCACGCATCCTGTCACGAGGTCCAAGAGGAGAATTAAATGAGTGAGTCATCAAATTTGGCAGGAAGGGACAAAGAAGAATTTTTTACTTTAATTTTGTCAAGTGACCAAGGTTTTCTTTCCCTAAATCGAACGAGAAAAATCGCCCACTGCAGTTCTTCGATAGCATGGTAAAGAAATGTTTTTTCTCTTTTTAAGACTAGAAAACATCAACTAAATCCCACTAGCGTGTGCGTCATAAAAGGTAAACAAAAACAATAAACAAAAAGAAAGAAACAGACACACTTAAAGTGAGACAGAAAGAGTAACATGACTTATATTTATGCCAAAAGCCTCACATGTATTTCATTAAGAATTATTTCACGCAATTTCTAAGTTATCCCTGAATATCAGCAAAAAACCTCCCGCACTATACTTTATAAGCCGACTTTTACCTGTTTTGATTGTAAGACTTTTATGAAATTGAAAATTGTGTGCACGTTTTATAAAATTGAGGTCACCTGGCTTTGCATCTCCTGCTAATCTGTCTAAGAATATCGCGAAGAGCAAATCTGAACTAAATTTCTGATTTTTATCTCCAGTCACCATTTGGCCGTTAATGAACAAGCTACTTGCTTTTTTTCAGCGAAACCTATGTTCTGATTGGCTTCCAAGGCAGGTACGGACCGGCTCATCTTGCCCGAACGGGATTGCGTGCAATGACCCCGCGAAAGAAAAAGAGAAATTGGTGGAGCAAATAACAAAGGACCTAATTTTTGGTAAATTTTTCCAAAGGAGTCGTAAAAAGTGGCCAAGAAAGTCAAAACAAAGAAAACGTAAATGACTCTCGTGGGTTTATTGTGCCGATCCTGTTGGCTTTTATTGACCAATATAATCTTGTTCGGTCAAGAAGACTGGATATTAGCCTCCTTCTTTTTGGCCCTTATGGACCTCGATTTCGTCTCGGTCCATTAAAATACACAAAAAAAGAAAAAAAATCAGCAAACGTCAGGCAATAAAAGAGGTAAGTTTCTAAATAAACTGTGGTCATTCGCCCTGACGAAGGGCTAACGCTCGAAACGTCAGCTTTGTAAACTCTTCACGGTGGCCAATTTACGTTGTCAACTCAGTTTAAAATTATCCACCCACGTTGATGTCACACTTGGTCAATAACACATATTTTCAGCATAGTGGAATAGAAATTTTGAAAGGTTAAGCTGTTCTTTGGAATATTTAAACGCCGTGAGAAGTACAAAAAACAATGAATATAATTTCTAATGGTGGAGATGAAATCACATGGGTTCTGAATCTTATTTCTCATTTGATACTTTCATGGTTTCTAAATTCTATAGCGTTAATGACTGACCCACGAGCCTGAATCATCCCCTAAAGATAAAATAAGTTGGAATTTAGGGACCTTAACAAGCTCTGAAAAATTCCTCATTTCATTAGTAAGGAAATGTTCCGAGTTCCAGACCAGCTCATTTACAGTTTGAAAAGTCAAGCTCAATTGTTTCAGTTAGTTGTGGCAAAAGTAACAATTGAATTAGCATTTTATGATCTCTTAAAGGGTTCAAGAATCCATTTTACTACTTTGTACTTTAGCTGTTTGCATAGATTTCATATACACCCGTGATTTCCCCACCCTTGACACAATGAATAACCTGCAAACTTTCAATGCCATTGTCTTATAAGAAATAATTTGCGGGTGTAGCTTGTAGACGAGATTCCATTTGAATTTGGCACCGAATCCCTCAGAGTTTGGCCAATGTCGCCGTTTTCATCATATCACCAAACCTTTGAACACCTTGTCAGGATTTAAGACGCTTTCGTTTAAAATCCTCAAAATGATTCTTTCCAAATATAAGACTTGAAAGAAATGAAGCGTAAGCAGTCGAGCTTCAAAATGCGACGTGAACTTTGGTCTGTTCTAATCACTTTTCTTCAATTGATGTCAAGTACCAGCTCAAATTTTCTATCCGTTTCGCAGCATGGTCCTCGTGTACTCATAGGTAAGCTAACAATTTTGTTTCGTACCGTTTTTAATTAACAATAGTTCAGAAAAAAACAAAACAGTTTTCGTTGAACCATGATTAACGTCTGTTGAGGAGTTTAAATAATTTATAAATACGTGCTAAAACCGTGGCTTTGTTACGTTTAAAGTATACTTCCACAAAAAGAACATTAGGTGTTCTTTTTTATAGTTACTTTTATGTTTGGCAGCCGCGCCCCTAAATACTCGATTGGCGGAGTGATCGGCTTTGTAAATTGTCTTTATTTATGTTTATTGGTTTGGATTTGCATTTTGGCAGCTTAAAGATTCAGCATTGTGGTCTTGAGACCAAAAAAAAATTGGAAGCAGTTATTATTTTCTAAGAGAACTAAGGCTTTTAATTTAAACTGATATTTATGGAGACATTTTGTGTCCTCAGCAAAGTCCTATGGTGCTCCCTTAAAATTGACCTGCGAAGATGTTCTCGCGAATAAAATCATTTTAAGCGGTATCTCCCTCTTCAAGATGAAACGAACAGTGGAAGCTAATCACGTGTTCCCTGGAATTTACGCTCAGTCTCAGAGTGAATGCCAAGGCAGTTTCCGTCTTACGAATAACACACAAGCTGCAGAATGCGAGCTAAGTTTTGTGGGAAGAAAAATTCCTTCTGACGTCATGATAGTCGCAGTATATCAATGCGCGCAAGATGGTGACCCGCGGAGGCAATTGGTTCATACACGTAAGTTGTATGTGATTCAAATATGCCATACATGTTTGTAGGGTGCAGCTCTGTAAAAACTGTACAGAGAGGTTGATAGAGGGTGTGTGAAGGGGGGCACAGGAAGGAGGGGGAGGGATTGGGGAGATGGAAAAACGTTGCAAAGACACCAACAGCTAGCTTGAAATGATTGGTTCATACTTATCACTTGTACAAGGAGAGTTTTACATAAAGTATTAGTCAATCCAGTAGTCAATACACCATTTGCACAGCTCTCATGGATTTCTCTCTTGTTCTGTTTTAAAAATGGGTCCAAGAAAATTTTGAATTTTGAGGTCGGGCCTATTAGTTCTTACTACAGATAGATAGATAGATTACGTCATTAATTTTTTACACCAATTCCAGGAGCTTCCGAATCAGGAGATTTGATCCTAAGATGCGGAATTAACGGAATGATCGACATTCTGGATATCACAATGAATGACACTGATTTAAAAGAACAGGAAAGAGAGAGGATCAAGCAACAGTGTGCAATGAAAGCCTTTCAAAATAATCAAGCACCTCAACAGCGTATTGGGCACAAACAAGCCGTGTTCTGCCCTGTGTCGAGACAGGGAAGAGATGGAAAACTGAAAGTGAGGTATCAGTGTCTACCAGCTTTACAAAAGGTCTTGAATCCTGTATTGGTAAACAAAACGAACACTACGGGATCTGTAACAAGAAGGTTTGCGAGACAATTGAAAAGACAGAGCAAGCGTAAGAAACATACACCGAAGATTTTTAAGAAAAGTCTCTAAGCGCGGTGAGAAACGAGTCTATCTTCAAAATCAAACGTTTCTAATGGAGAGAAAGGAGGAGTAGAACTCTCGCACTTTCCAGTTTTCTACATTGGAGAACGAGTTTTTTCTCCATTTTGCGACAATTTAAATTTCCTACGACGCGGTAGTGTTGTATTCTGAGACCGGAATCAAACAAAGAGTATCGAGTGCTCAAAAAGAAGAGCAAGGGCTTTACAAAATCTTCTTCCACCCGAGAGAGGGATTCTCTGGCTTTTTTATCAAATATGTCTGAACTAAAACAAGCAACTTATTTGAATTAATATTAATGGGGAACTGTTTGTGATTATATTGAACCTATATGCAATTACTAGCAATTGCAGCCAGGTATACCATCATTCATCTGTTGGGTGTGTGAAATATTGATTGGTCAAATGCATTCAATCGCTTTATTTTTCATTTAAAACAAAGTGACAATCATAGTTTCAAAATGATTAGAAACATTCTTTGCCTTAGGACTATTTTGAGGTGAGGAGAATCATCGGTTATTTCTAAGAAATCGAAACAGGAAAAAAAGCTCGACTAGTTTCATTTGAAAACTCGAATGTAAAAAATTCAACTTTGGAACTATCTGACGTTGAGAAGTTTGATGATAACGTAACCAGGACCGGCGTTAGAACCAGCTTGGTTAGACTGCTCCTTGCCACTGTTATGCGATCCACCACCTCCCCCACAGGAATTAGATCGGCTTCCACTGGCACCCCCAGAGTAGCCACCACCACCACCACCACCACCGCCGGCTCCGTTTGGTCCGCCGCCGCCACCGAATCCACCTTCTATTTCATTCTGATTAGATCGACCTCCGACACCACCTATGAAATGATTGACATATTTCAGTTATCCGTAGAACCATTTCGTTTAATGATTATTCAATAATGATTAATTGTTATAGCAATAATCATAAATATTTCTGTGGCATGAAGATTTTTCATAGAATTTCATGAAAAGTCTAGTACCAATAAAAATAAAGGGAAATATTTTGGGAGGCTATCAAATCGAGGCTCATCAAGTGCTCTAATACGCTTCTATCCTTATAAGTTCTCTGCAGGGATCTATAAAGAATCTTTATTTTAGATTTTGAAAATTATCTTTGTCTGCAGCTGTTTCTAGAAAGAGTGTCGGAAATGAAGGAAAAAGGTGCACGCGATAATCTCAAACGGTAATCTGGATGTTTGGTAATCAATAAATTGTGATACGTTGAGTATGTACAAAATTCATTTAACCAGCTTTGCCCCCATAGAGGGACGTTTTTTCAAAGATTTCCCTGAAATCCTGAGGAACAATCACTTTTGGGGTTGGATTGCCTGCAATTTGACCCTTTTTTGCAGACAGCCTCTTTAAAAACAGCCATATCAATCTGTTTAAAGGCTTATAACGGTTAACTCGTCCATTACCTTTGTAGAATGATTTTCCTCCTTCACCACCTGTTCCCTTAGCGCCACCGAAGTTTTGGTTTGAGCGTCCGTTAGTCTCAAATCCACCACCACCTCCCCCAGAGTAATTATTGTCGCCTTCTTCCGCTCCCTTCCCTCCAGTGCCTCCCTGGAACTGTGAACCACCATATCCCGCGTTTCCATCGCTAGAGCCTGACCCGTGACACCGCGGGCTCTCACCCTTCATTTTATCGACACCACCACCTCCACCGGCTGGATAGAAAAGAAGAAACCGTCACAACTATGAAATCTAAATGATGCATTATCATCGATACCGCAGTTGTATTTGCAATACTTCTCACATCAGAGCTTTTCCACCTAATTCGTCGCAAGAAACAGTTCTCATTGAACAGAACAGAAGTGTACGGTTAAATAAAAAGGTTTATGTCCCGCAGAACGGGTATGAAAAAATCAATATGGTTGCAGTTTTGTTGTCTTAGTGCAACAAGGCGATGACATGAAAAACGGTTTTTGTCTGTAAATGTGGCTTCCCGTAGCAATCCCTGCAAAATTCAGGGCTTTTTTACACCTGAGATAGATGATATGTTTTGAACTTCCGTGGAGATACCCTAAGGTTTAATTTCAATTTTCCTTAAGATTTCCTATTGCTTTTATCAATAGTTCACTTTCTCAACTTAAACGACTTAAAGTAAAACGTTATTTCTTTTCGGAATTGACTGGTGAATCTCAATAAACAAACCACCAGGCTATGACAAAACAATATGATTGTTAAATAAAACATGAGCTGAGCGCGTTTTGAACTTGGTTAGCTCCTTTGGATTGGCTGCCTGTTCGAAATTATGGAATGATTAACAACTATTCAACAAACAGGAGGTGGCTAATGGTAGATTTGTACCGAGCCTCGAAGCGGCGAGGTAAATATCCACCGCTAACCACTTGCACCAAGGTAAATAGTTTTTACTAGTATATACTAAAACAGTGAGATGATATAGCACAAAAAGATGGCACAAATCCTGTACAGGTTGCTTTGAGATGAATATCAAAGGATATCAGGAACTTGAGTGGCCAATCAAAGTGTGTCTTCAATGCTATCCAATTTTTCAGTATTATGTTTACTAATAAAAATTATCTCTTGCTCACTCACCGATTAAAAGAGGTGTGTTGTCATCAGCAACTACAAAGCTTCCACCGCCTCCCCCTGCTCCTCCAGAAACAGTGTTAACTCCTCCCTCCTGACCAACGAGGACCTTAAGAACATCCCCTCGTTTCAGATGGAAATTTCCCTTAACGCGAGCTCCCTTTCCGCGCTTGCTTGCTGTTGGATTGACACAAAGCTTAGTTAGTCAAGAAGACTCAAGGTTCGGCTCACTAAAACTTTAGTTTATATTCAAGATTTTAAAGCAAACATCTAAGCTTTTGAAGAAAATGAAGATTTGCTGCCTTTAATCGTTGGCACGGGACAAAATTTAAGAAAAAAGTCGCATAGAATAGGGAGAATGGTAGATTCTGATCTTGGTAATGAAATTAGGCCCGACGTCTTTAGGAATCATTCGTCATTAATCGCCTAAGGAGATGGGGGGCGGGGGGGAGGGGAGGGAGAAAGAAATTTAAAAGAATTTTTTTTGGGGGGGGGGAGATCACAGGGGGCAATCAGAAGTCGCAAAAAGATTTTATAGGGGGACTAAAGAATATTGACGGCCAATGAGGGGTTCATTTGAATACTACAAAGCCTTATGGGGGGAATCAGCTCAATTTTATTGTGATACAACCCGAATCCTTCACCCCAGACAATAAAAAATGATCAGTCTCATTGTATCATAGGTTAACCAAAACGAACAGTTTTCAACCGAGAGTCGAGCTTGGTTAAGGTTCAGGATTTAATCAGTGCCCCGTGATTAGTGAAAGAACCTCGCACTAATTACACCATTCTCTGGAAATTTCATTTCTTTCTTCTTTCATTTCTTTTGACCCCCGATTTTTCGTCCCCTCCGGAGTTGAATTTTTTTTCTTAGCCTCCTGGCTGAGAGAGTCGTTTTCCATGACATCTGTTAAGTAAGATAGAGGTAAGGGAAAATTCCCTAATATGGCTGCCTTACTCAGGCGTACATCACTAGGACAGATTATATTCACTTACATGACGTGAACTTGTCGTGTCCACCAGCAGCTCCTGCAGCTTCAATTGTGTACATTCCGGTGGCTGGGATCTTCCACATCTGAATTCCCTTGTTAACGGTCACTTGTCCCTCGTGATCTTGACCATGGTAGTAATTCCCCACTGATGTGGGACCCAGGCGGCCTGTGGCTCCAAGAGTTGTGAACTTTGCCATAGAAAATACTGTGGAAAATAGTTCAACGTTAATCAAGAGCGGATATTAACTGAACTGATATTAACAAAGCGGCGAACGCCCAGCAGAGTTTAGGGGTCTTGAGGAAAAGGTATGGAATTTTATTGTTTAGTTTCTGGAAGGAGAAGTCTCGCTGTACTGGAGGTTTGAAATGGTATGAACTAGATGGAGTGCAATGCACATATCACGTGCAAGAAAACTGTTCGTTCTGATGTCAAATTTTACAAATAACTTTAAGAAATTATCTCGGTGTGCTTGACGAAACACTATGCATGAAAAAAATGTTTTTTCTTCTATCGTCAATACAAACACAAAGAAATCAGGGCTTCAAAACCATGGCAAATTACCCACTCCCAGTGAGCTCTCTTAAAAGGAGGGGATAGAATTCCGTAAACTCACCGTTATATCGCTTGTTCACGCTATGCTCAGGGTTGAAAATAACCCACTGAGTGACAAAATTTCTGAAGTACTTCTCACAGGAAGCCTCCACATACATCAATGAAGGCATCCGATCGGGTTTGTCTTCCTCTGATGCGATGTGAATCGAGCCTACAAAGACTGGGTAGGGAAATTCGTACGCAATCCACTGCATGCCCGGAGGAGCAGCACCGTTGGAAATCCAAAGGCTCTCGGGATTATTATCGAATGCCATGCTGGGAGCATATCCTGTAAGAGTAATCGTAATGCTAAGTTTGAGAACGGTCACTATTTTCATTTCCTTTAAACGCTAGAAAAAAGACCAAATTTACACCCAGCGTGAAAAAGATAAGAATCCAAGGAAATATAAACTGTTCTCTTGATGGATCCCAATATACTGCGTGACATAAAATGTGAGTTATACCATTTCACATGACTATGGTGCAAAATCCCGCACTTTTATTGTCCTCTTTAGGAAAAAAAGATAGAATGAAAGGAAGGATAAGAGAAACAACAAACAAAAACAACACCGATAACAAGAAAAAATAATAAAAAAGAAATGTTCAGCACAATTTTGCCTAAAAACTGACTAGAGTAGTCAGGAATTGTCTTAGTCTCGCAGCCAGACCTTTCACGGCTAAGCAATTAGAGTTACATGGTAGGATCTGGGTACGATATTATAATTGTCCTTTAAAGCAGAAAATCATAAACAAAAAGTCTATCCTTTTTCCTTTCCAACACCACCACGACCACCACCACCACCACCACCACCACCACCACCACCACCACCACCACCACCACCACCACCACCACCACCACCACCACGACCACCACCACCACCCAGTTGCCAATTGGTAACTTTTTTTTTTTGACAATTTCTCCTAGAGCTGCATCAATAAACACATATTACATCTACTCATCTCTACACACAATACAATAGAGACGTTTGCCGTAGCCTTAAATGATGTCCACTCGACTCACCAGGTCCAAAGTAGCTGCTGGCATAGCCTCTCTTGGGCTCAGCGTTAAGCGCTTTGGTGGACGCTGCGGTGTCGTAAAACTTTATGCCTGATACAACCCACAGGAAAGGTACATCCGCTGCGTTACGTATTCTCCAGTAAGGATAACTGCCATTAGTGTAAGGACATTTATCAGGACAGAAACCAGACTCTGAGTCACATTCGTGCTTGCCTATTGAGAGAAAGGTAAAAGGTAAAGTGTGCACTCGAACCAAGTTAGTGGCCCACTTAGCCGGAGCCTGTTCCGGTTTCCTTAGCAGGAAGCAATTGGGAGTATCACTACTTGCTTTCAGTGTAATTTGACGAGAAAAACATGGAGAAAGGACAAAAAACATGTTCCTGCATAAAATTCATAGATTTATTTCAAACTAGAGATAGCGGTCCTCGTGAAACTGCACCCGCGAAGTTTTAGATTATTGGCCAAAATAGAAAATATTTTTTTCTCAAAAGACTTACTTTTAGCTAAGAAGTAGAAACATTGAAGGTGCACCCGCGAAGTTTTAGATTATTGGCCAAGATAGAAAATATTTTTTTCTCAAAGGACTTACTTTTAGCTAAGAAGTAGAAACGTTAAAAAAAATTGAAAAAGGGTTGAATCGAGGCAATGTTAATATTGATATACTGCACATTTAAATGTCATCAAAGACAAAAGACAACTACCTGCTTTTAGAGGAAAGGCGATAAACTATGAATAAGTCATTGAGTAGTTCGGTCGATATTTTCTTGGGATAAGTTTTGCTGACGCGTTTACCGCGTTTATAGCGCTAACTGATAATTACCAGGAAATTTCGAAAATGAAAATAATTTAGATATTGCTGAAATCTGCTTCAACAAGATTTCATGAAAATGTGAAAATGTTCTATGAAAGAGATTCGTTTCAGCTTTAGCGTAAAATTTGACGTATGTACACGTATTACTTGTCATCGAAGTCGTTGGGTAGCGGAGATTTCAACTAAGTAGAAGGCAATTTTGAAGCGAAATCAAATTAAAAAAAAAAAAGCACGTTAGATCATATTTGTGATTTAACTTTTTGACAAACCTGATTACAAAAGTTCGAAAGGCTTTTTTGGACCCAGCTCAAGAAGTGTTTTGCACATTGTATATCTATTCCAGCAAAAGAAAGATAGCTGACCTCAATATTCACAGCATCTACCTCTACCAGGGGTTTTAACGAAAGCAGTTTACCGGCGTTCTATCGCCGCCTATAACACCTCTTACCACCGTCTGTTTAGCTTGCGAGCTGGCTCTTGTGTTTTGGTCTCGCCTTTCAGCACAGCTGGCTGTTATATACCCACGGCAGCCGCTCATGGAATAAGTTCAGTATTGAAAAATTTGCATTCGGATTTGAGCAAATTGGTGTTTGCCTGCAGTTTGCCTGCAATAATTCCAAGTAACAGTATAAGCAAACAGAACGTACCTTCGTTGTATTGCTTGCAGATGGCCACTCTCTTATCTCTGTATTTCTTGTCTGTGTGCCATTCCCAACTAAGACAGTATCCTGGTTTGAATGGTCTGTTCCACGGAGGAATTACGAAATGCGCATAAACGTTAGGGTCTTTTTCAAAGCCAAATTGGCTTCCTTTGTGAAATTGTACCTTAGCACTGCTCTCAGAACCACCAAGTCCCAAAAACCCACTACAAAGACCCAAGAAAGAGCTTAGAATAAGCGCTAAAAAGGTTTGTTTGTCCATGATGGCCTAACAGGATCAGTGAACTGACTGGTTCGTCATCGGGAATGATGTAGTTTTTGCCCTGCGTTACATGCCACGCTGGAAGAACCAAAATCTGTCTGTGATAGGCTGAATTTTGCAAACGTGTAAGATTACTAACTTTGGTTTTGAATTTTAAAACGATTTCATCCTTTTTTCTGCATTTTAACAGCGCTTTGTTGGCACATTTCTTGCGCGAAGTTTTAGTCGCTAAGGAACACCTCTGAGCCCGCTGTATCACAAGAGACCAAAACTGCGGATGAACGCATGATAACGCGTACAGCAAGCTTTGAAAGTAGTAGTCGACAAAATAAAATCAGATGTGTTGCGGCTTCCTTTTTGCCTTAGGTTACCAAAATAAATTTTTATGACTTCATTTTCATCGGTCAAAATAAGTACTGCTTACTTGAGAAATTCGTAAGATTTGACTTTTAAATCAGGTTTCTTCATAACCGTCCTAAGCCGAATTCGGTTCAGAAAAGCCAATTACAGGCGAAAAACAAATTCAAAGAATATCGTTTAAAAGCTAGAGAAAATTATTCGGAAATTCATGTACCGATTACTCACGGATGATGCAAAGTTGTAGCAAAATTCTCTCTAGTTCTCAAGTGCGTGCGTGATTAACTTTCTTAATTTTTCAATAACTTTTGTTCAACAAAAAATGCTCAATAAGACACGTATCAGCACCTCTTAAGCTAAGAATCTATCGTAGAGCGAACTTTACGGACGCTGTTTCCGCTATAATTTGGAAGAGAAATAGAAAAAAAATGTATTTTCAATAGACTTGCTATTGAAAATTGACCCTCATAAGTGACTAACGGGTTTTGCTTTTGTTCACAGCACGAAGTGATTGTGTGACACACGTGTTGGAAATATGTAAATTTTTGGAGGCACGGAAAATTAAAAATTCTTTTGTAATGAAACAAGCTCTGTCCTTAATTATGTCTCTGAGGGCGATTATACCAAGTAACGTAACATGTTGGCATGTTTCTTAGAATAATTTGAGGATGATTTCGTCGTGCAATTTTTATTCAGTCATGTGATGAGAGAAGGTAACACCAATAAAACAGTAAACGACGCTATAAACGACGTCAAATTTCCAATAAGAAATCACCAGTTGATAACCTTTACGAAAGAGATGTAATACCTAATCTGGCTGTTTTTTTTTTTCAAAACTTTTCAAAACAGCATGACATATGTCAGGCCGGTTTTTCGATCAATGAACAAGGCGAAACGGGAGGGAATCAAGAGACAATCACACAATAGAAGAAAAAGACAATAATAGTAATAACAATAATAATAAACGCATGGGATGCAAGCTGTATGATTAGTTCTAGTAACAAATTCGCTGTTTTGTGGATCGCCCATAATACATTTATTTTACATTATTGGTACTTAGCTATGTCAGTTTGCTCTAGGTCATGCCAAATTAGCAATGCACATTTCTTATTCTTTAAGCTACCAACCCCCCCCCCTCCCTTCCCCTTCCAAACTTCTAATGTCTATTTTCGATCACTCCGGTGAGCATTGTTTCCGTTCCGTACCACACGAACTCGGAGGAAAAAAAATACACACATACAAAGAAATCAAAGATTCCACCTGCTGGAGTACCTGGAAGGAGTTTTCTATGATTTAGAGGGCTGGAGCAGTGCTGAGACTTGCATTAAGCTGCTGAAAGTTTTCTTGAAAATATTATATTAACACAATTAACCCCCCTAAGTATGATATTCCCCGCGAAGTTTTCTTATCTTGAACATTTAGGAAAATTGTAAATGTCAGTGCGAAACGAATGGTTCAGTTTACTGCATCCACTGAAATAAGTGAACACAGATTAATCGTTTTGATTTTCTTAAGACCGTTCATTTACAAATGTTAGCCTACTGTTACGCTGTAGTAAAACAAAAGTCTCAGATTTGAAAGGTAAATATATCTTGAAAGGAATATTTTTACAAACTCGCTCTCCTCTCGCGAAAATTTCTAGGTTGAAAGGAACCATAATCTAAAATTTGAGAAAAAGAATCTTTCCACCAGTGTTCCAACTTCATTTTTGTCCAATATCATTTATTTCATCATTTGTCGTTTCAGTGTCCTTTAGTAAAAAAGAAAAATACCACTTATGATAATAAAAAAAATTGGAATGGTATTATTGGTATTTGGTAGATAGAAGTTGATAGGTAATCTCTGTTTGAAGCAAGTGGTCCAGTTTCAGCAGCATGAAGCGACTCATGATGAAAGCGATCTTCGCAATGATAAACACTACCTAAGCAGTAGTGAAAATAGGGCCTGAGAAAAATTCAGGTCTGTACGGGATTTGAACCCATGACCTCTGCGATGCCGGTGCCGCGAAGATCGCTTTATAATCATTTCCTAAACCGCAGCTCGCCTAGATGTGATTTTCATAAATTCACAGTCATCGATTCACAACTTCACGGCCCTATTACAGACCAACATGATAACCAGCTCCCAGTTGGCTTTTTAGCTCAGTTGATAGAGCACTGCACCGGTACTGCAGAGGTCATGGGTTCAAATCCCGTTGAAGCCTAATGTTTTTTCCAGGACTTATTTTCACTAATGTTTAAGTAGTGTTCATTACTGCGAAGATCGCTCATTTCTTGAACCGCAGATTTATATGATTTTCATATATGTGTAGTCACTAGATGAGAGACAGATAATTCGCCGGTAACCATTTACACTCCTTAGTGGAAAGGGGGCCTTTGTAGAAGTAAAATGATTTGCCAAAGAACACAACACACTGGCCTCGTTTTAACTCAGTGCAAAGAAACTGAAATAGCACCACACTTTGCTTCCACGATGTTGGTTTTAACAAAACTTAAAACAGCTGCCCATAGTTCTTAACTCGGTGGCTTACTTGTTCCTCATTTCATGGTTGTAAAAATTCAGTGACGATGAAACCTAGGAGATCTAACGAAATACGTCTCGCGCAAGCGCGTAAATGGATGTGGATTATGTAAACTTGTGACCTTCTTGACAAAAACAGGGCCTAAAATTGAGTGGTCACGTTTTAAAAATAGATGCCGCGTAAACAAAACTTATTTAACCCAGATTGTGTTGTTATCCAACTTAAGAAATCTTTGACATGGAAACATACTTTATTTGTATGGGTACGAAACGACGGATCCAATTATTGACGAACGCTCCTAACTGGTGTGAAACGACTGTTAAGCCCACAAGCTACTCAGTCCAGTGGCTTGACGTATCACTTATCTGAAGGTCTTTATCAGGTTAACCGTCAACCGTCAAATATCTAACTCATTGACCGTCAAAAGAGCAAACGTCACCCGTTCAAAACGCAAACTAATATAATCCGTCAAATCCTTCAGACATTCCTTACGAGCAACTAAAATGGCGTCTGTGTATCGGAAAGAAGCACTGCTGTGGGTCTGTTTTAGATGGCTAAAGCATTGAAAAATGTTTTTTTTCAAAGTATTCCGGGAATTGTGTCTTGCTGAGAAATATCAAAACTTCATTTTTCGTCACGAACTGTTAAGTTCCACTTAGAAAAATTACCTGTTGACCATCAAATGGCCAAAAATTTAGCCGCCAAGAGTCCAAACTACCTCTCCTTGACCGCCAACCATTAAAGATACTAACCCACTGAGAACCTTTTATTTACTAAATCATCATTTTGTCATCACAGCCTCGTATTACAGGTGAACCATACTTTGTATCCAGCTATCACTTAGACTGCGCGAGACTTGAGCACCACTTCCGGCTAAGCATATAGCGTAGACTTCCGCTTTTCATTTGGACGCTGCTTTGTTTAGGTCGGAGACGCATCAAAACCTCACCGCCGTTCACTGCGTGATGTCAGCAACGACGTTCATCGAAGCGTGTAATAAATTTAACAGGTGTAACAACGTACCAGCCATGTTTTCACCTGTTACATAATAATAACATGTCCACTTAAGCAACAGGTTGTTTACACAGAATGATCAACAGATCAAAGACCATCTCCTAGGCAACGTGCGTCGATAAAGCTGTGTTTTTTTTCTGTCAACAAAATGGAATCACTTCCCTTGATTAGTTAGTGCGCTCAAAGGAAATTTTTTAAGCAAATTGTGCATTTTTTAATTAATTGAGGAAGTTACCCAGACTCCTACTGCCATAACTGCACTTTCAAATAAAAATTAGTAGAACCATTAGTTGTTCAAATCGATCACAGCCATCTCTGAGCTTGTTACCTACATGGAAGAAACTTGAAACTCAAATTTTCTCTTCGTCTCCCATCCTTATCACGCGATCATTGTGCAAAATAAAAAGCGTCTGTTCAAAAATAATACCGGTTTGCTTATTCCTCCCGCATAAGTAACCACAGCGACTCGATTGTTCAGTGGGCTTAAATGGTGCGGTATCAGCTGCGTTCAGCCGAGTGAACACCTATGAACTGTTAGTTTTGGGACCTTTGTTTCTGGCCTTGTGAAGTATATGGACAGCTTATTCACATTTCCGTTCACACGGTTATGGCTCCTTCGTAAACCATAGAATGAGGAACGTTTGAAAGTTTTGTTCCAAAAATTAAAATTTGCTGCGGCCGCTGTTGTCGGAAATTCATGGTAAATGAAAATTGGCCTCTAAAAAAGTATGTGCTCTGAAAATGGACTCTACTTTAAACCACCGATGGAGGAGACTTTTGACTGATTTAGAGATAAAAGCACGTTTTCGTCCAAAAAATTGAATGAATTCTGCATTAGGAGAAATCAGACAGAACAGGGATATTTTAATGACAAACTCTGATTCCCATGAGTAGAGGTAAAAAGTGTCGATGAAATTAAGAAAGTCGTCAGAATGGGAGTTTCTCGCTTTGAAGGTAATATACCTTGGGATTGTTTCTTTTGTCTCTGTGAATGTAGTTGAATTCAAGTCGATAACACAGCCACATCATCTCTATGGAATGCAGCGTAAATCCTGCTCGCTCTATGCATGCTTGACTCTTCTTGCTTGAGTAAATTGTGCATTCACATGGAAGAGTTACCATGAAGCATCAAACTGAACAATTAGAAAATGCGGTCTTGGAAGAAATAATCTCAAGTTTTTTCAAGAATCCCAATAAGGTGTTGCTCTAAGGAGCTTTTCGTCTAGGTAGAAGTTGAACAAAGCTGACTTTAGGGGTTAACAACCACACGGAGAGTTAAGTTTGGCGGTACCTTGAGCCAACCAATCACACGCGTTCTGGAATAATCTCCTTTGTTCTTTGTGTCGCCGTGTGTGGGCTGCCCGTGCCCCTAGGTAGTACCACCTGGGAAATCCTCGGTATCTGAAATTCGATGATCCCACATGTATGGGGGCTTTATATAGATTCCCTGGGAATTCGCTCTTTCTGATGCGACTGATAGAGACTGGCTCATTTTATACAGTGACACTTTCAAGGCCAATATTCGTATATATTATTATGTACATGAATGATCGTGACTGTCGCTCGTGTAAAACGTGGTTGATTCGCCTGGAGGCTCAATGAGACTCACTGAAGCGAAGTGCTGTTTTGCAAGTAGTTGAACTGTATCAAATAGCGGCAAAAATCTACCCTGATTATCCTTCCTGGGTGGCGAAATGGGGTCGATAAGTTGTGATTGTTAGGTTTTAGGTTGCAAATAGACTAGTTTTATCTTTCCTTTAGTGGTTAAACGTGAAACACAGGCATACACTGTTTGTAAATGGTAGTTTTTGCTGGTCGTGATCGGCAAAATTATCGGAATTTGAGAATGTAAGCTTACAAAATAAATTGCTTATATTTCAAACAGGTGCTTAACTTTTGATCCCATAAAGGGTTGTGCCTCTAACACACGCTGCATTTGAAGTTCCTTCGAGCGCAGCCTCTTCTCTCGATCCGCTAATTTATTTGTTAAAGCTTGCTTCGTTTGATCGCATCTGGAATCAAACGGTCCCTTACTAACACCTCCCCGGGTGCCATCTTTTTCGATTTCACCCTCCATGCACGAGAAATTTGCTTTGTTGCTGGTCACCAGCCACGAGATTTGAGAGCGAATGCATTAAATTTACATCAAAGCTTTCGTTTCCTTTCAAGATGTCCATTCATGTGTGACTGGTCGTTAACTCACCTCTAGCGCAACTTTAGTCCTAGATTTTAATCTCGTCTCTGCGGAGATGTGCCAAGGAAAGAACGCTTAGAGAGATAATTATGAAGTAAAATCATCTGGACAGTCTGGTAATTCAGTGCGACTTCGCTTGGTTTGCCCGTTTAGGAACTGGAAGTCAAGATTTTTCTTGGTACGTTATTTTCAAAAAAAGGAAAAACTCAAGGAAGTAGGCAAGAGTTGAAAAACAGGATTCGACCCTTCCAAGGTAAGGCGAAATATACTTAGAGTTAATAGACTTATTTCTCATTGCACTAGGCGGAGTAGCTGCAAAAATATTATTGCGGAAATTTCCTAGGGAGGAATTGCGAACCGATAGCTACTTATAATCAGAACGTCCCGTTTGAACTCAACTACACCAGTCCAGGGATAGAAATGAATTTTTCTTGTTATTTAGAGAATAAGAATGAGATACGTTGATGCTATCTTTCGCCAGATTTTTAGAAGAAAAGAGAAATCATTGCATATAATTTGTTGAGATTTTCTTGAAACCCAAGACAGAGATATCTTGATGGGCGCTAGCCAGTATGGCCTTGACAACTCTATCCAACAATCATTTATGCTCACAAATCAACACGGAAAGAATTAACAATATCTGACTTCGCTTGGTATCTATGATCTAATGTTATGGAATACGAAAAAATGTAGCTTAGAAGATAGATTTGAAATAGAATCAGGACTAGATGAGAGCCATGTTTACTTGGAGGCAGTAATTAATTAGTAAGCAAGGTGTCTTGAACAGCGCCGTTCAAATTCTTCCTGAACAGTTGGTCGACCCTTCCTTCGGATGGCATTTTTGGACTCGCAATTCAACAAGGCCAGTTTATCCCAAATAAAGGTAAGCAAATATACACATTTTGACTTTTTTCTTGACAGGACTTCCTGCTATTTTTGTATTTATTATCCTTGATCAGAGCCTCTCTTGTACCACCAGGTAAATTGCTTGTATTGAATTGATCAAAGTGACAAAACCAAAGAGAAACAAGTGGTCAATTTTCTTTCCCAATTATCCTCGATAATCTTTGAAAATACCATATGACTCAGTGTAAATATTAGAGGAACAGCAGAAATGAAGTCAAATTTTGCGCACTATCCAAACTTTTCTCGGTAAGATTTCCATTTGCTTGGACGCGTCCTGAAAGTACTCATAACCGTTGTGTCACGTAGATGAACTTTCGATGAATACAAATGTGAAGACATTTTCTCTATTCTACTTTAATTTTTAGCCGACTTTTAGAGCGATCGACATTAGAAGGCGAAGTTTCTTAACGGAGGTTATTTGTTTGTCCTCTGCCATTTGAAGGACACTTTGTACCAATTTTTCTGTGTCAACATGATTTGATTTCGGGTTAAAATGTTCTGACCTCACTTATTCGTAACTGCCACAAAGAGTTTGTCTTGTACCCAAAGCATTTGACGATAAAATGAGACAAAAAATTGCCCAGCGTTTATAAAACAAATTACTGGTCACTAGCGTTGGAAAATACGATGCCCTTCATACAACGCTCTAAGGCAACAGACCTAGTTATGGCCTCGAAGGCAATCATCATGAATTATTAATTATCTTAGCTAGTTCAACCCCTGGATATAATACCTCCCAATAGCTTTTTATTTTTTACTTAAATTCTACAAGTTTACACGAAGGAGCTTACTCATGTTAAAACATTGTTTTCGTTTCCAAATTCAAATTTTATTCGATGAGAAAAACGAGCATGGACTTTCGTTGCGGAATCAATTTAGTCACCCGACCAACATAATTGACCGAGTTCGATGAAATAAGGGGTCATGTGGACTTTCAAAGCACTCGTGGCCAGGCGACACGGAGATTTCGGAGATATGGTTACAACCCTATGTAACGTGTCATAAATCACGAACTGACACACCGGGTTCAAAACCATCCTAACTAATTATAAATTCAATCTTTAAATTGGTGTTACTTATTTAGACACCTATTTCGCCAACCAATAAAACAGCAGTTGCACTGTTGTAACTTTGTTGTTCAGTTTGTTGGATGCGATAACATAGGCGTATAAAACATCATATATTGTTTTCTTCACGGATGGACAATGGAAGTAATAGTTTCTCTAAGCAAACATGAGCGAACTACTGTGCATGCCCTCTATCGGCCTGTCACCTAGAGAGTAATTTAGTTTGCTCACTTCATTTTTCTCTCCATTTGAGTTTTGTGACCCATGTTAGTTATGATGTAATGGTTAGGTAAAGTGGTGGACTGCACTCGGGTGTAATTGCTTTAGACAATTACAGTGATCAGTTGATTCACTTGGTTAGGCCGATCACACAGGCTAACCTTTTCGTTTGAAATTTCACCAACGAAATCCGACCTTGATACGATTTACGTGCATCAGCAGATGCCTTTGATTTAGCTCAGACAGCTAACCAAAGTAAGGGCAAACGTTTGGGGTGCTTTCCCTCATAAACTGAGGATTTCCAAAGGAACTTTTCGCAGCTATAATAGACAGCCGCTGCTCTCTGAGACGCATCGAAGGGATCGAAGGTAAAAAAAGGTATATTCTGACGAATTTTGAAAATTCTTACAACGATAGGGCGTTTGCGTTTTGTTTTACAATAACAAAAAATATTATTTTAGCTACTTTAGTACTTTTAAAACTAGTTTTGACCCAGTTTATTTTCCTTGCCACTTGTCCGTAAGCATGACGTCAGAAACACCTGGGTCGTTCTGCTTCGAAACAATAATTCATGTTAGACTACCTAATTTGAGCGGGAAAGAAATCGGGTAGCTTTCTCTAACTTCTTTGTTCATATAATGTTTAGTTACAAAATATCTTTATTACAAGCGATGTTGTATCAAATTCGACTGAGCACATTTTTGCCTGAATTAGTTATTGCATCTCTGTTACCATTTTGACAGCTGCATTTAGTGATCAGTTCACTTCGATGGCGACGAGACGCAAAGAACTAGAATTATATCCTGGAATTCATCGAAGCATTTAAACTTATTTTATTTTAATTTTTACTATTTGTTCTTCTCACTAAATTTCGGACACTTTTAGGATAAAAACAAGTTTTTCTCTCCATCAGGAATACAAAAAAAGATTTCTTAAGCCGCAACAATACACTTGCTAAACAGTGTTTTCGCAATGTATCCGAATTTCTTTTCGGGAAAAGCCTATTTAACCAGATAAAGCAGTTTGAATTTCTTTCTATTTTTTAATCAAAAGCTGTAAGCTTCTTACATTGATTATAAGGAAAAGTGGTGCGTTAAAAGCATTTGAATGTGGAAGAGGAAAATGTCCTGCCACAGATCGAGATATTTAAAGCCCTTTCGGCCGTATAGGAAAATGGTCTTACCTAGCTGGAGTGGGTCCTTTACCGGAATCTCCACTTTGAAATTCTCCGCTGAATTAAAAAAAAAAAAAAAAAAAAAAAAAAAAAAAAAAAAAAAAAAAGGCGGATTTTCTCAAAATGTTTCATTTTATATTTCTCTTTTTCTTTATTTTTTCCCACGCAACGTTTTGTAAAGACGACTGCTTACGAGAATCAAAGCCGCTAAGAAAAGCTGAGTCAGTTAAAGTTAAAATCCTCTTCCCGTTTTTCTATGTATAACTTATGCGTAAGGTTAATTTGATGGTTCATGAGTCAGTGGTTATCGAAATAACACTGAATAGACCTGAAGACATAACAAACAACTTTGCGAAAGACGATGTAGAAATGGAGTCAACTGTACGATACAGATGATCGTGAAGTAGATGCAAATTTTCAGGAGATCGTATCCATCAAGAAAAGTGTTTTACTTTTGAGTAATATCACAATTTTTCTTCATCTACTTTGATTCGCTCTGACGAAGGGCTAAGACTCGAAATGTCAGCTTTAGGAACTTTTCACGGTATTTAATTTACATTATCAACCCAATTGATAAAGCTAATTATCTTGTAATATCCCAACCGACGCAGCAACATAGTTTCTTTAGAAACTTGCTTCCTTGACACCTTGATTCGCTCTGACGAAGGGCTACCACTCAAAATGTCAGCTTAAGGAACTCTGTACGGTTGTCAATTAACATTTTCAACTCATTTGTTAAAACTGAATAACAAAGTAGCAAATTGACAGAGAAAAAAAAATAGCTGTATTGTAGTTTCAAAAACGACAGGTTCCTGAATTCAAACTTAAATCGTACCGTCAAGAGCAAAATAGTCTTTCTGAAAGCCATAAATTGCATCCTTAAAATGAAAAAAGAAGAGGTTTAAATTTGGGGCAACTCTGAAAACAGTGATTAAGATCGTTCTCATTTTTAGTGGTTGCCCCGCGTTGAATAAATATTTAGATTTACTGTTGTGTTCGACACAGCTCTAAAATTTCGGTATTACCTCATTTTTTCAATAACGTTGAACTTTGAAAAGAAATGTTCTATGCCCTATTTCACCTCGACAGAACTTCCTGACATTTTCCACAGACTTATTTTTCAAGAAGCTTCTTACAAATTCTCGACATTTTTTCTACGCCCCCATGGCATGTGGTAAGCGGTGTTGCTACTAACACACTAACTAAACCTGCTGGTGTGTGCCATATAAGGGAATAGGTAAATAGTTGGGTTCAAGTCCTGGCTACGGGTGGCGAAGATTTTTCCAGATGGGTTCAAATCGAGCGGGAATATGACCGCTCAATAACAAGACGATTAACAACGGGCTCATAGAATTCTCACATTTAGATCATCATGGAAAAGGAAACATTATGAAACATTTAAGGTATTAAGTGAGTTTGGTTTGCTGTTATTTTAAATTTTTCTTAAAAGTGGAAAATGAACAATCGCTAGTAAAATCTATTTGATGGCATTCCTGCTATTGTTTCAGAACACGATCCGAGAATTAAGTGGAAGAGTCGCCGGTTGGAGTTGCGAATCAATGATGCCCCACAGAGGTAGACTATTCTTTATCTTATCAACATTTTCTATAATTTCTTGAGCGATGGGAAAAAAATATCCCTTCCTTCTTTTAAAAGCCGCTTGGTTTAGCTGCTTGCCAAATGATTTATTTATTCATTACATTCCTTAGCTTGTCATGCAAACTCACCGTAGTTATACAAACGGTCAGGATTTATCGCAAACATCTTTTGAAATATTTTGACAAAATGCCGTGAAATCAAAATTCCAGGCGAAGTAGCTGTCAGATTAAAATTAATTTTGAGGAAGTTTATGCTCTTATTTGAAGGCCGATTAAGTTGTCAGCCCAGTTATACAATAGAATATTTAATTACCCAAATATCTGGTCATGTTTAGATTTGAAATTTTTAGGTTTAACCCTCGAGTTTACGTCTTTCCTAAATTGAGACACCACAAGAGACGAATCTCCTAAACTAATACAACGACAAATACTTCCGAGAAGGCAATAAATAGTGAAGTATTTTTGAACTGAAATTTTCATTTCTTGTTGTTTTGATTGACAAAAAAAGGGGACACCCGAATTTGTTTTGGGTAAAATAGAGATTTTGTTACTGTGTCATTTTTTCCTTCAAGAAATATCACTGTAGTAAAAAATCATATCATTGCAAGCGTTGACAGGAAATCTAATCTCGTTTGATCTCCGCTGTATCGTCGGTTACTAAATGATCTTTGATTCGTCGGCCGGAATCGAATCAAATTTTGCATTATTTTAAAATACTGAAATTTTTCCTTGAAAAAAAGAAAAACTTTTAATGTGGCAGGATCAAAATAGGATAGCCTTTCTCTAAAGTGACTGAATCACTTTAAAAGGCATTGAGTTCAATCGTAACGTCTTTCGTTTTTGTTTACAAGGAAATGATCTAAATTATGTAAATTAGCCACGCGGGCAGACTGTTGAGGAATTTTGATCACGGTCTTTCAAACAAACCATGTTTTTGCCGTTTTCTATCTTTAATTTCAAATGTCATTAAAAAAATCCTTTAACCAAATAGAAATATAAAATCTAGAGATTCAAATTTCAGATTAAAACGGAATACTTAATCATAACTGAACGTAAACTGGAAATGTTAATCATTCACATACAGTCCTCTTCGTCCAGTTATAGAGATTATTCCTTAAAATCGCTGACCAAATTTACGCAGAGAAGTAGTTCTCGTTACAGAGAAAATAAACGCGGACAAAGGAGAAGCTATTGACAGGTTTAGTCGGATTTGTTTTCATTCTCTTGTTTTCAAATTGCGTTTCCAAGATATGGAATAAAAGTTGTATTAGTGAACTGAAGTTGGATATCCAGTTTATTCATTTTTTTTTCATTTTCTTTCGTCTGAAACACTTGTTTAGATATGCCTTAACATTGTCTAAATTAGTTTAATAATCTTTCAACCATAATTTATCACGGATAAAGAAAAAACATTTGCTTTAGTCAGCTCATTTAGTTGCCATCTAACAGGCAAATTCTACGTTGACTCTAGTTTTTTCGGCGAACTATTTGAAAAGTAGTAGATTTTGGAGAGATCACAAGAGATCATTCGACCATTCTTACTTAATAAGAATGGTAACCATTCTACACAATCGGTTTATCAAAGGTTTGATACAGTAGGACCAAGAATAATAATGATTATAAAAAAAATAGATTCCTCCTTCATCCCATTGGGAGATACAAGAATTTTTTACTTTTTTTTCAGGTATCGTTGACTACGTCGACCATACCTGATTGGTGTTAAACTTTAGATCACCTGATAGATTTACTCATAGATTTAGCCCTTATTATCAAAACATAACTTAACTGAAATTTATGCGATTTGATGAATTTTATCCCAACGAAGGACCGGGTGGAGTCAACCAACTCGGAGGTGTTTTCGTCAATGGCCGACCGCTACCAGACTACATGCGACACCGAATTGTTGAGTTGGCTCACTGTGGCGTCCGACCATCGGAGATCTCCCGTCAACTGCTCGTGTCCCACGGGTGTGTGAGCAAAATTCTCGGAAGATATTACGAGACAGGCTCGGTGCGGCCCGGAGCGATCGGAGGCAGTAAACCAAAAGTGGCTACTCCACGAGTGGTGTCGAAGATTCTCGCGTACAAGGAGGAAAACCCTTGTATTTTTGCGTGGGAGATCAGAAACAACTTGCTGAGTGACGGAGTCTGTGACAAGAGCAATGTACCGAGCGTCAGTTCCATTAACAGGATTCTGCGCAATGCGGCTTCGGAAAAAGAACAACGCGCGGCGCACGAGAAAGCAAAACAGCACGTGCAACACCTTCAGCAGCAGATTCCAAATGCACCTCAGATGAATGGATTTCAAGCTCAAATTGGTTTTGCTCTACCACACAACGGTCAGACAGCACTACCTACTACTCTTCAGACCCTTGCACAACAGCTGCCCAATCCGCATCCCATGCCGCAAGTTCCAACACCTGTCGAAAAACCCACGCAGGCTCCGGAGGTTGTGCAGAGCGTGGAAAAGAATGACAATGAACATCGTGGTACGCCACAAAACGGTTCGTAGCCAAAGACATGAATTCTACATCAATATGCTCATGCATGCAAATATTTTTTTAATATTATTAAATTAAAGACTACTGCTACTGTAATGTAATGTAATTTCAGGTACTGAACGTGATATGCAACAAAGTTCTCACAACTGAAAAGAATACCACTTTCCTAACTCTAAGAGAAGGATGCACCTTGCACAGACATTTAAAGGCTTTCAATTGCAGTTAGTTTGGGTCAAGCAATTTCTATTAAGATACAGCTTCAGAACCATTTTTTATATTCGTGCAGGCACGGATCACAATGGGAAATCAGAAACAGAATCAAAACAGAATGGTCACCCAGAGAATGGCGAAAATGGAACAGTGGGCGAGGAACGCAAGAGAAAACATGATGACACATCGGTGATTGGTGATCAAAGCGACGAGGACGTCAAGAAAGAGAGCAACGGTACAACAGACGTAAATGGAAACGAAGGTCCAGACGCTAAGAAAAGAAAACTTGGACACATTGAAAATGGACACAAAAATGAAGTGGTGAGATACTATGATGTAATCACTTTTCGTAGCTATACAACAAAACAAGCTGACTAGTTGCACTTTTCTATACCATGTGGTGTACACATGACTTATGGCCTTAATTGTGTAGTTTTCGATACAGGGAACTTGAGTTTCTTTATCTTTATAATATAGCCTACATCTCATAACTATGAATGAATAAAATTTATATTAGGTAACATGACTTGCTGTAAATGCTATAGCTTCTCACAAAAGGCGTAGAAAAACTTCAAGCTACTGCCAAACACTACTGAAAAGAGAGTTCTGTCTCGTCCTTATGGCACCATTTAGCTAAACGACACCTTTAGTTTTTTGTCTATGAAAATATAGTTTGCCGCTTATTTTTTTTCTTCTTCTTCTTATGCTTTCTCTATAAAATTCCAATTAGCCCGTGTACACTCGCGTATCACCGACATGGATTAAATACAACCCCGTGATTCCGAGTGGATTTGCCATTGCAAGCAGCCTCAATGGCTTGAACGCAATCGCTGGTGATCTCAATGGTTTAAACGTCAACGTGAATGGCATGGGCGGTTTGAACGGCGTCAACGGGCTTGGAAGCGTTGGGGCGGTAAATGGATTGAACGGCATAGCACAGATGAACGCTGTTAATGGGATGAGCGGAATGAATGGAATGGGAAATGGTCTGGGAAATGGAATGAGCCTAATGAACGGGAACAATGCCATCAACGGAATCAATGGTTTAGCAGGTATTAGCACCATAAATGGTATTAACACTTTGGGCAACATCAGCTGTCACAATGTGAACGGAATGAACGCCATCAGTGGGATGCATTCAATGAATGGCATGAACGGCCACGCCAATGGAGGAATGACACATCCTGGTATGGACCAGGATAGGTCACTCGGACAAAACGGGATTAACGGCCACACAGAGAATGTCCACTGGTCACCGCCCTACCCCATGGTGTGTCTACCGGATTCAAATAATTCCAACGGAATGACCCAAACAAATGGCATAAACAAACAAGATTCCTTTGCACCACAGATTGCCTTTCAGATAACCAACACACCCAGACCAGATCTTCAGAACAATTCTGCTAACTCAACCACTGTATGCACATCGGTTTTTGCACCCATAACTACGGCAACGCCAAGAAATCACTCTCTTACAATGGCAAATCCTTTGACTAATGGCATCCAAGCCATGCAGTTCTCTCGACCAATGGCGACCGAATTTACACAGCCAATCATGAAGATTATGGCACCAGCCACGTTCCTGCCATTAAGACCGTCTGGAATAGCCTCCCTTGATACCATAACTCATGGGTGAGCAAACACGCAGGAAAAGAGCGATTAAAAACAAGGCAAAAATTAATGGCGATGCCTTTTAGAGGGTTCTAAGCCCCTCGACGTGCGTTTTGGAGAAAATGCGCATCCATCCGTTTATGTATCCTGAAATTTTGTCAACCACGTAAGATGTCATTGTTACTTCGTAAGAGGTCAATGCTTTTGTTTATGACAAGGAGAAAGATCAATATATTTTTCAAAAACATTTTTGACACCGGAATATTGTATTCCAACGAATTCGGAGATATCGTTTACGCTCGTATTTAACAAGAAAAGGTATTTACTCTTATCTCATTTATTTTCACCGAAAGGTAAGCGTTCATTGTATGATATAGTCAGTATTTAGAAACACTTTTACTGCAGAGTGTCTTTACATGCAATACCACTAACATACCAGTCACGAGTTATTTGTCGCTAGCCGATATCCTTAAAATTCAAGGACCTGTCAACATTACCCGTCGTGTTTAGCTGTGCACATGCTTGCAGTCTTTTCTTATTCATGTCCTCACCTGCCTTTTAGTAACTATAATTTGAATTGAAAGTATTTCACTAACTCAAAAGTCACATAAACGATATCGATCGAAATATTAATAATCATTCCGAAATGAATTTTATTTTTCCTAGACTCGATTAATAAATTTTCGGCTTCTCTAAAAGCAAAAATTATAAAGCCAGATATGCATGCTAAAAAAATTGGTTATCGAACCCGAAATGCTTTCGGCCAATTAGGAGCACGATTGGCAATAATTGCACCGTGTCACAATAGCGCAGTCATTTTCTATAAACCATATATACAACATTTTCCTATAAAAAGATGAGAATGTTGAGGTTGAAGTCAAAATACTGTTGCATCTACCTTTTTAACTTTTTTCTTCAACATTTGAAAATCATCATAGCAGCTGAAACTGCTTTGGCGACTTGTCGAACCAACAAGATATGCATATCCTAATATACCATTTTTTGTCGCTCTTGCCTTCGATGAAATGCAAGTGATTAGCAAATGAAAACCTTCTTTGTTTTCTCGGTAACATAATGGCCAGTTATCATGACTTCATCCATGTAATTTTACGAGTCAGAGCAACATGTTCATTGTCGATTGCACCTAATTTTTCATTAGAGGACTTAAATAAGTGTTGCCAAATATAATAGATTTAGTGCCTCGCTGCGCGCGCGCTGACGGCTCCGCTCTATTCTGTGGCTTTGTAAAAATAACACAAAAATATGCGACTGCCCAATAAGGCTTCTTCTAAGCTTTAAATTAGGCGTAAAACATGAGGAATAAATAGATTTGTAGCGAGTTCTTCATTAAGAGAAAAAGAACTGCAGGAATCCAGTTGGTTCTTGCCATAACTGTGCTTAAGGCTGATATCCTTACGAAAGTATTATCTTTACGCTCCCACTGATGCTTGAGTAAGTCTATTAAGCTTGTTTTGTCTATCTGATAAGCCATTTTCACTTTTGCTTTGCTGTATAAAAGTAGTTGAACAGTTATCATAAACCAGAACAAACTGAGTAAACGTTTTATTAAAAAATAACCGCTGAGACTGAAGAAATTGGGAATAAACTTTACTGAAGATGAAAGTAGGGAAGCCTTTATCTGATTTAAGGAGGATTTTTCCTATTGACTGAAAAGTAGAAACTCGACTTCTGACCCATACGCCAACAGATAAATCAGGTGGAATGCAAAAGAGGGTTAAATTGATGTTCCGAGCTCGTAGCTAATCAGTATATATCTCACAGGTGAATAGTGATTTTATTGCGCATTGATTGGCTGGTTTGGAAGTGATTAGCAAGTACTATTTATCTTTGAGCACCCACGGAGACAAAATCGTGCGTCAAAACCTGAATTTCCGACCATTTTTTGACAGAAATGAACCATTATTTTTGGTTTTTGTGTGGTTTATACTAAAACAATTATTCACCTCAGTGTCGGTGAATGTGGTGGATATTTACCTCGTTGCTTCGTGGCTTCGTGGCTCGGTAAATATCCACTACTATTAAACATGAATTGTCAATGGTTCTTAAAAGTATGTGCCTTTCTTCTGATAGGCCGCTGCAATTACTTTAGTTCGGTTTTACGACACTCGTATTATACACCAAAAACAAAATGCTCAGATCATCAGTTTTTCTGTTCCATGACACATTCCTCCTGATTTCGTTGTGATAAGTTACGTACGCCTTTCTTATTAATAAATTATCATACAGCCCAACCACAGTGTCATGCTAGGCATGCCGGGTAATATGGCGGCTAGCCCGCTGGGGAAACTGGACCGAGAATGTACAAAGTGTTTATCAAGAGAGAATATATTTTTCCATATTGCGTTATTTATCTGGTTAATCAATTAATAGATGTTCTCGTCGAACATTGTTCAAAATAATTCCAAATATTTATTCGTTAATGTTAAGTTAAATTTTGAGATCAGCGAGCTTCTTTCAAAGAAAACATTTCTCCGGTCTTCAAATCAGAGGTAGTTTAGGTCCATCGTTTCATTTTATGTTTGTTGGCAGAACATCCGGCATACTAGTTTCAGTTTTTATAAAAGAAAAACTATCCAAGTTTCTTTGAAAGAAGTTCGGAGAATCATCTTTATTATTACTGTTAAAGAGACGCATTCTTTATAAAGGAAACAAGCGAAAAATTATGTATTTAAATTTTAAAATATTGCAATCGTATGGATTGCCCATTGTTTATTAGACGAAATGTGTAAAGATCATTGAGGAAGCTCCATGAAATATATTAAAACTGTTTTCTTGTGTGGAATTGTTATCTATCTCTTTTGTTTTAAGTGGCTCGCGAACTTTGACATGTCTGACTCCATCCTGTCCTTTGACCTTTTAACTCTGAACTGTGACTGCCATTTATGTCACTGAATCAAAGTTAACGTAACGAGACTAAAGGAAATGATTCGTTCTTGATCGCTTTGGAAATTTTCCTTGTTAATAGCAAGGGAAATGTGCAGAGAAAAATGCGAAAAATATACATAATGATGTTTTTAGGGTAAAAAGGGTTCATTCCAAATTCTATTTGTATCCTCATTGCTTTTCTGAACTCTACTGATCGAGCAAGCCGTGAAGCAAATGGAAGAAACACTTGCTAAACCCAAAGGAATGAACACGCACAACTGGAATGAATTAATTAAGCGGCTTTGAAAGAGCTGAAATAAACACTGTGCTATTTTTAGCACTTTGATTGTCTTATGAAAAGGCGGGTAATTTGAAAGTCCTAAACTTATGTTTTCCAGTCTATTGAAGTATACGCACACCCTTTAGTTTTTGTGGTGCGTGCAAAAATTGAGCAAAGAAAAGGAATATCAGTGCGTGACCCCATCGGCGCTTTCGTCTTTGTTACATGCCTTGTTAAAACAAAATTAGAAGGAATAGTTTTCTTCGCATGCGCGCAATAAAAAAAGCCAACCTGTTGAGACATAAGAAGTTGTAAATTATCGTGTTATATTAAAGTACTGAGATTCTTGTCATCGCGTTCGGTAAATTTAACCACAACTTAAGTTTTTGTGAGCGTGAAATAAAAAGTTATGCACAAGGAAAGTTTCAGGTACGCTGTCTGTCGTACAAAGAGTGCTATGGTTCACTCAATAAGAAAACAATGCGATCAGGAAGGTTATTGTTTTTTCTAGTGTAAGACAGCATGGAGTCCAAAATAAAGGCTAGTCGCATGCTTGATGAGTTCTTCTTTCACAAGCTCTCCTTTCCCCTTCTTTCAATGTACTCCCCGAAAACATGCTTCTCTGGGTAATGCCCCCTCATGCCTTTGATAAACCTTCAAAACTCCAACTTCCACTCGACCAAACTACCTAACGTCACAAAATATTCGAATAGTATGCACAGTCTTTGCTTACTAAACAGGAAGTGTAATTCTAATAGAAATTCCGCCGATCTTAAGATGAACTTCTGGTGTCGCGTAAATTTTTCCTCACGTAAAAGCTACGTAAAGCAAACGTGCGTAGGCAATGTCCACTGCTACGTAAAATCAATACTATGTGTTTTGTTTCAAGCGCGAAAACCGTCGTAAAAGTTGAAGGCTGATCAACTTTTCATTGCACTATCGCGATTGCCCCGTGTGTAAAACGCGCGTTAACGCCTGAAATGAACGTTGAAGTGGAAATACGGTGACATTTAGTCGAAGGATGCGTTTGCGCACGCAAACGGTCACTACGCTGTACGTAAACCGACATATCGCTGAGCTGCAGCGACAAATTATTGAGCTGAAACGATATGTCGCTCAAAGAAAACAATCATTTGCGAAGATCTCATCAAGGAAACGACAACATACGTCGCGGCTCTCAATAGCCCTGGATGCATCATTCTAATTAAAGTATCGCTTAAACATCGTCTAGAAATCGCAAAAAAAATTGAAAAACAAATAAACAAACCCACACGTCTGATATGAATAATTTATTACATTTTTGTTGCTGTTATATTGTTCACAGGTGCTTAAAATGTAATGAAGTAAACATAAGCCTTCAGAATAAATCGTAAAAATAGTCCAGCCCTTGTCCAATCTCCCAGATGGAGATTCCAACTTCAAGTTCCTTGGCGAGATCCAGTCGCACTTGAATAGACTAAGACACAAGGAAATGAAACGGAACTCATTTGTGGTATGTTAAATAAACTCAAAAACAGGCTCCTTCTTGTTGTAGAAGACACGCGACTCTTCACGTCACGTTCTTTGTCTTTTTGTTTTCTATTGCCTAACGTCAACTGTGTCTTCTACACCAAGTAAAAAGCCAGAAAACACCACCCAGGCTTAAATCATCTTTATGGATATCATCACTGCGCAAAAGCATCAAATATCGATATTCCTATATTAGGAAGTTCAGGCTTAAATGATCTTAATGGATATCACCACTGCACAATAGCATCACATACCGACAATCCTATCCTAACAGTATGCAAGAGGTTCGTCACCATGGACTTACTTAAACAACATAGCCTATCATAGGTTTTCTAGAGCATCCGAAGTAATAATCGAAAGGTCGTAGGTTCGACTCCCATTGGGAGCACTCGAGAGTCTTCTATTTCCGTTTAGGCCCGTGTCATTCAATGAATGACATCACATTTTGCCACACAAATTTTCTCTAAAATCTATTTCAGTGTAGCTTAAAGAAATTTGTCGTGGGCACGAGTCAGGAAGCTGAGAAGTAAGTCGTAGGTTCAAACACCAACAACAATCTCTCACCTTAAGCGTTGGGTAAAACACAGAGTGGTGGGTCCCAGCAGCACTGTAAAATATGACGTTGGAAGTTTAAGAGTGAGTAATTTTTTATTTGGAAGGCCAATTTAAGATCTCACTCTCCACAATGATTCCGTACGGCAACACTCGGAGGTTTCGTTCCCGAGTATCGCAGTAAACTCACCGACCAAAATAACGATCTCCTCCAGACTTGTTAACCGAATAGTAACGAAGTTCACCGAAGTATCAAGTACGAAGAAAGCCTCTCGAGAGAATACTTTGTGATTTTAACTTAAAATCATGAACGCGTAATGACGTCTTTTCCCCTTTTTGCACGTTTGTTCGTGAGAACTGTCAGCAAAACCTGGCGAGTTCTAAAGCTGAAGTAAAATCATCCCCTTCAGCAAGCAAATGACTTAACATAAAGGAAACCATCACATGACGATAAATTTTTCCGACGAGTACCTTGCAAAACGGGAAGAAAGAATAGTCACTGCAGTAAAATCGCCAGAAAATTTACACCTCTTTTCTAATCCATTTTAACTAACGAAAATCAGACGGTGGCTTGAAGATTCGAATTACCGCTTTAAAGGGAACGTTTATTCCCCCGCGGTGCTCGATCGAGAAATTTTGTTCTTACCACTCGAAAATAAAATTTATACCTTCGCACCGCCGCACAATATTCTCCGTGTTCCGTAGGATTTCATAAGAACAAATGAAACAACATTATGTGAATACAAAGCACAAATTGGTGACTTTACTTACGTGAAAGCGAAAGAATGCTCCGCCACTCCGTTCTCCCAAGTAAGTTTTTCCGTTTTGTGTTTTGTTAACACCTCAATGTATCTATGAAAGGAAATGTGTATATGTGGGTAAGTTCCTGTCTGTGCTGCGTCGGTGAGAGAGTATAACAAGGTAATTTTGTATTATCAATTGAGTTGATAACGTAAATTGACCACCATAAGGAGTTTCAAAGCTGACCGCGTTTCGAGCGTTAGCCCTTCGTCAGAACCAAAGTCAACACAAGAGAACTAGTAACAAAGAAACAAAACAAGAAACAAAGAAACGAATAAGCTTACTCCCTAGAGCACGGGAAAACAAGAGAGACTAATATTCGATTGGGTTTTAGTCTTGCATCTAAATCACCGATCAATCGAAGCATCAACATCCCCTCCCCCACCCCCACCTCCCAGGTCAAGCCGCGTCAGTTGACCCTCGTCCGGGCCGGGGGGAAACCTGAACCTTGCCTGGTGAGGGTGGGGAATTTGGACCAGTGGTGTAAAGTCTTTCCAGCGGAGTAAAACGTTACAGTACATCTTTAAATATGGAGGGGGGAGGGGAAGGGGTTATATTTCACTTTTGGGAGCAAATGGCACAGAAGAAAAGGTCTACAAGGTGTAGGTTTTAAAACTTGGTTAACGTGTAGAAAGTTACGGTCACCGAAGTTGCCTATCTGAAAAAAAATTCTTTAAAAGTTCAAATGCCTGAGGAGGGGTGGGAATAAGCTTCGAATTGATCGACGCATAATTGGCAGCTTGAGATAACTTGACCTTCCACGGGATAAAGTAAAGTGAACCCACGTGGGACACATCATGCATAAATTTATGTGGAACCAAGCATCTCAAAGCAAATAAAACAGTAATCAACATTTCTTCACCACTCACTCACCTTGATCCTAAAATAGCTGTGTTGCGGAACCACAAAGTATTTAAAGAAGAGAAAAAATAAAAGAGAAGAATCAGCAAAAATTGGAACTTGAACATTGTTTGTACAATTCGCCGGTACCCATTTATACTCCTGGGTGGAGAGACGGACTGAGAAATTAAAGTGTCTTGCCCAAAAACACAACACAATGATTCTGCTATCGGCCGCCAGTGGGCCATTAGGTGTGATTGAAACTGCTAGCCGATGTTCAGCTGTAAGTCGACAGACAAGTTTTTTTGGGGAGTTGTTCTTCACAATTACCGAATGTTTTTACGCACATTTGAGGACAACTTTCGAAGATAAGTTTACTCGTTATATCTAAAGTCCAGTCAGTCCCACCATTTCAAACATATTTTCTATGGCAAGGATGAAAATTATTTCGTTTCTAGTGCATATTTCGAGTGTTTTAATTTATCCTTTTCTTGTTTCGACTTACGTCCACTTCCCGTCGCTGCGAATTCCTGGCCGTAGAAGTTGAGGCCCATTAGAATTTTCGATCGCTGCTTTCCTTTCTCTGGACTCAACGTTAGCACACAGTCTTTCATCCATTGTAAAGGAGCATTAGGACCCGGCCTACATAGAAAGCAATAGGGCAGGTTAAAAATAATTGTATTTAACGAATTTATTATGTTACCTTGGGTCTCTCAGTAATATGTCACAGATGACGAAAAGTGGTAAGAACAAAGAACAAAAATATGGCACACGTGGCGCAGACTTCGTCCTAAAGGAAGGACGGCTCCTAGTCCAATAAAGTTACGCACAGCGGTAACAATTACTCACCTCCCTTGAGAAGAGTAATCATAAGTCA